AAAATAAGGCAACTCAATAAGGAGAAGAAGCTTCAACGTGATTTGACTGCCCAGGATCTGGCTACTGCCAGCTCGAGGAATGACCAGAGTCATGTGATTTTAGAAAATTCGGAAAGTCTTGAGGAAACCGTGACAAATTTGTCTCGATCAGACTATGTACTGTATCAGGATTGGAGCAGGATGACGAAATTGACGTAGTTGACACAAGTAGAATAAGATTAATACAGTAATAGCTTTCTTTAAATATCATATAAAATGAAAGAAAAATTTTTAAACAATCTTTTGTAGATGTGAATTTTTTTCAATAACTTCCTTTGAATTTTCCATGATACAATACGTACATGCAGTACGTGTTGGTCAAGTTTAAACTCCTATTAATGAAACCAAATATGTAATCTATGCAATTTTGTTCAATGACATCAATGGCTACGAGTGCATCTTATCTCATGTAACATCAAAAACTCATCTACAATCCATTTATATATACAGTAAAATGGTTTACAGTATCAAGTCCTTGTTCATTGTCATTGCAACTTATAATAAGCCGCATGTCTGTCAAATCTTTCATTAAGGATTTGTCTTGGGGCATTGATGCTCAATAACAATATGGCCTCGAAATACAGTATACTCAATTTCACAGTACACAACAAAGTCATGTGTCAATTCGAGCCAATTAAACCTTTTTTAGCACATCAAGCTTTTACCGGAGATTATTCTTCTATATTTTGGTTCGGTCAATGCTCTTGAAGAAGGCATTGGTGCATCTAATCTAATTTCCGAGTCAACATTTGACTTCTTGATTTATTACTCCTGTGCTATTAACCGTTGAGGTTAATAGGAAGTTAGATGAAAGTAAAGCCTTTACCAAATTGTTACTTTATACGTACTTACAGTATATAATTATCAGCATGGTACTGTAATCACTGGTTTAAAAATATTATTCCGGGTTAAGATTTATAAAGCTACTGATGATTTCTTTTTTATTATTTACCTTATAATTGGACACAGCATACATCTAGTATTTTTCATTGTTTTTGGTTTTGTTCAAGATGTGTTCTATCCTATTATTCTCAACGTTTCAGTCTTTACCATTTTCTTTTTCCGGCTGTGGAGAAAGACTATGTTGACCCAGATACTTATTTATCTGTGTTTATACCCGTTATCTTAGCATTTATTGGAATGATACTATTCACGTACAAAAGAAAAGAAGATGAGAATACTAATACCAGTGATAAATGTATGAGCGTTCACAAGTTTTTTAGAGCGGACTATGGGAAATCGAATTTTGTTGTTAAATAATGTTTTGTTTGATTGTTGCACCTTCTGTAATTTGGATCAAGACGTTTCTCGCATTGTTATTCACGTGTTATACAGTAAATGAGTTTTATTTGAACAGCGTCAAAAAGCGGACGCTGGAAAAGCAAAGACATCAGAACTAGAAGATACTGGAAAGGTCGACAATTAAACGTTCTTTTATTAAAAGTTCGTATTTCCTTTATTGTACTGTATATATGAGTTAGTAAATTATTGTATATTATGCTATTAGTTACAGCTTATAAGTCAATGCATTAGCACATGATAGCATTCTGTCAAATAAAATTATACAATAAATTAAGTCAACAAAGACAAGGTAATGTGTTAATGTTATAATGAGTTAAGTTATATTATGTAATTGGCACTATAAATATGTAGAATTTCCTTACTTTTCGTTATGTTTTCAAAATATTCTTGAAGTTTCTGTTTAAAAAAGGATCAAAAAGTTAGTATTTAATAAGGTGAAAAGGGAGTGGTAGTTACAATTTAATTAAGAAAAATTCTTACTTGGTCAAATACAATGCTTTGCTCTTTTCTAATATCCTATCCTCATAGATTGACTAGTGATTACACGAAATCTGTCACTGTTTAGCGACAGACTCGCTGATTGTCCCGTCCCATTGTACAATCGACTTAAATTCCAAGTTTTAACATTTGTAAAACGATTAAATACGCTATAGCATTACTATTAATTATTTTTTAAATAATATATACTGTATATACGTATGTACTATATATATATATATGCTTTTTAAGTATTGATTAAATAATTCAATTGTGACTTTTTTTCAATTTTATTAAATATTTACCTGATATATTCTGTTCTTCTGATTTTTTGCTACTTGTTACTAAAATTTTTGTTGATATAATCATTCAAGTATAAATCAAGTAATTGGTAATTAATATGATGATTGATTGGTTTGTTTGTTGATGTTATTGTTTTTTTTTTGTTAACTAGTTAGACCTTGTATAACATGCTGTATTTAATTCACATACGTATTTCTTGTATTATAAAAATTACTAGAATTATTTTAAATTATATTGAATTATTTTCATATTAGCTTGTTGTTGTTAATCTAACCTCAGAAATATTGGATTAAGAGTTAATATGTCAAGATGCCATTAGTGTTGCTATTATATCTTGTAATTTTATTTTAACTAAAAAAATTAAAGAAAAGTTGAATAAAAAAAAACTAAAAGTAGTACCTATTGTTGGTAAACAGAATTTTATAAAGAAAACCTAGATTTATATCATTTGTAACTAGATATACTATCAATTATAAATAAACATTTTTAGTTATCTAATATTATTTAACAATTACACTAGTTAAAATTTCTTTTTAATATAAGTTAAATAATTACTATAGGCAAACTAATATTTCACTTATTATAAATACATATAATATATATATATATTATATAATATGTGAATAAAAAAAAAAATTAAATATATTAAATAAAAAAATTATTTTAAAAATATAATTTTTATTTTTATAAATTTATAATTTATTTGATATAGTTTTAACTAATTTTAAATAAAATTTTTAGATATTAATTATAACTTGAATACAAATATAGATATATTTAATTACAATACTTTTATATTCTTGAATAATTATATAGTTTTGTTTAGATTTTTTTAAAAGAAATATAAGATTTTATATATTGTTATACTTGATTTTTATCCAAAATTTTTATTATTTTATATTTGATTTTTACTAATATTTATCTTTAAAATATTGCTTATTTCAGAATAATCTTTATATTACTGATTTTTTTATTAATCAATACTATACTTTTTGTATTATTGTTTGCTCTAAAATATTTCTTATTTTATTTATTTCTCTTTATTTTCTTACTTTTGTTAAAGTATTTGTTTCTATATTAATATATACAGATAACTGTTTTAATAACTTAATTAGCTTATATAACTTATAATTATTATGTACAAAAATATTATATCTTAAATATATATATAAAGTTCTTTAATTTTGTTTAGAAATTTAAAGAATTAAATTATTATTTTATTAAATAAATATTATAATCTTTACAAAACAAATTATTATTGTCTTTTTTTTTGATCTTATAGATTTTAAAACAATATTAATTTTATATATATTTAAAAATTTTAGTATATCACATTGGTCTTTCAAACAAAACATTTTTCTATTACTAGTTTTTTATTTATATCTTTTTTTTAAGATAAAAAAATATATAATAATATTTTTAAAAGAATCTTTGAACTAATAAATATTACTTTTTTGATTTTTTATAACTTATTAATTTAACTATTATTAATATAAATAAATAAAATATAATTTATATTATTTGTTTATTGTAATTATTATTATAATGATAATCTAGTTTTTTTTAATACTAAAGTGAAATATACTCATTACCTTTATTAATAAAGTAAAAGTTTAACTTGTTATATAATTAATATTAAACTATGAGTTATATTGCTATAAATATTAGCCTATTATCTATTTAACAGATATATTATTTGAAAAACCTTTGAGCAAGAAAAACTTGAGAAACTATTTGTTATGAAATATAAAAAATAAAAAAACATTTGGAGCAAGATCGCTATAGTGTAACTGAATTAAAAAAGATAAGAAAAATGTTAGAAATAATATTGTAACTTTTGTTAAATGTAGTTTTTGAATACAATTAGTTGTTTTAGTCAGACAGTAGCATCACAAAAGCCACAAATAACTTGATTGGTTTAGTTGTATAAATTTTTTGAGATATGTTGCTGTGATGTGATTTAGTCAAATTGTGATATTGATTGTGAAATTAAATTGATTGTGAAGTAACTGGAACCCATTTCAGGTATTTGTTATATTGTTGTGATAGGTTGCTATTGTTTTGTGTTTTTACTGGAATCCATACAAGGCGCTGATTACATACTTTCCCAATCCAATAAGTTATTGTGTTGTTTTAATGTAATTTAGTAATACAATATATGATTGGTGTTTTGTATATTATAGATCTTTTAGTAAAGGTAAGCTAGTTATGGTTTTTTGTATAAAAAAAATAGATAAGGACTAATAACTAATCAGAAGATTATAACAAACCTTGTACTAGTTGTTATTAGCAGAAAATAAAAACTCTGAAAAAATAAAATGCTGCTTTTTGAAAATAAAATTATATTTAATTTTGTGTATGTTTTTTGTGATATAGTAGGTGATAATAAATGTAAATGGGTAAAAAGATTTTTCTTTATTTAGAGGTTGCTTATATAGGTTATATTTAGTAAAGCAAAAAGTTTATCAAATATGTTTCTACTCTTTTCAAAGTATCTACTTCTTTATGAAAAGTTAATCGACCCTCTGTATCTTGTAATAAGCTAAAATAAACTTTTTTCTTAGGAAGAGACTCTTGCTGACTGTTTACTGTCTATCGTTCATAATATTACTAAAAAAAAAATTTTTTTATAAATTAAAGTGTTGTGAAAAAAAGTTTTTTTTTTTAATGATAAACTAGTTTAAATTAATTATTATTATTATTATTATTATTATTATTATAAATAAATTTGATTTTTATTTTAAAAAATTAATTGAAATTAATTAATTGAAAGAAATAAATCAATTTTGATTTTTTTATTAAATATTTTTTTATAATACAATAGATATTACTATTGTAAAAATATAATAGTAAGTTAATTGCTAAAAAGATTAAGATTTTGCATAACTATAAATAAGATAGGAAATATCTAAAGTAAAGAAGATATGTTTTAATTTAATCAAATATTTTATTTTATTATTTGTATTTTTTTTTATTAATATTTGTTTCTTTATATATACAGCATATATTCTTTTATTTATTGAAATTAATATAGCTATATTTTTTTAAAAAATAGATAAGCTAAATTTAAATTATATAAATTTTTTTTTATAATTTTTTTTTTCTTTTTCTTATATTAAATAATCATGTATTATTAATTAAGAATATATTTTTTTGTGTATTGTTTATAGCAATTAGTCACATAATATATGTTATGTCTTGATTTATTTCTTATATTATAATAATGTTATTTGAAAAAATTATATTGAAACAAAATTTAAATTTAACAATTTTGATTAAATATGTTTTCAAATTAAAAATATTTGTAATATAAAAATATAAAAAATATAAAAGAATATAAAAATAAAAAAAATTATTATAAGTTTTTTTATATACTGTAAGTAAAAAATAACTATAATTTTTTCCATTTTAAATAAACTTTAATTAAAGATTGTATTTCAATATATTAGTTGTTTTAAGAATTTTTTAATCAGGCTTACTTTATAAATTATTTATCATTGATTCAATTTTATAATTTTGAAAATTGGAATTGAACAGTATTGTAGAGAATTACATGAGATTCAGAATACTATTAAAAATGATAGTGAGGTATATTTTATCTATTAAATTTAATATAAACTTAAGAATTGAATACAGAATCAAAGAGAATTGTTAGGATTCTTATTCAATTTTTAAAATTTTTAATATAATTGTACTATATTATAACTTAATTATTTATGTATTTTAATTATGATTTAGTTAATTATATTAAATAATTATATCAATTGTATTAAAAATCTACAAATTGATATTGAGTAGATATTTATAGCTGCTCAGTGTTATCTGGCAAGATATATTGTTTTAAACTTTCTTTTTAATATTAGTTATATGATTACTATGGGCAAGCTAGCATTTAACTTATTGTATCAACATATGAGAGATGTTGTTTTTTTCATAATGTATATCATGTTATATACAAATCAAATAAAGAAATGATGTTTATCTACTTTAAAAAAATAATAATAATAATCTATAAATTTTAACAAGATATAAGATAAGTTAAAAATTTTAAAAAAATCATTATTATTTAATAAATCAATTATAACAAACAAGCATTTATTTAAAAAATAAGAACCAATAATTTATTTTGAAAAAAATTTTAACAATCAATATAAATGTACTTATTTTTTATTACTAATTTATATTTGATTTATATAGATTTAATTGTATTTTTAAAATAATTTTTGAAATTGCATTTCATTTTTCTTTTTTAAACACTTTTAATTTATTCAAATTTCATTATATTTTCTTTTTTTTATTTGTTTTAATTATATTTCACAAGTTTTTTATCAGATTTAAATCCAG